TTATTTATTTTTATTTAATTTAGTTAGTTGCCAAGGCAACATTTCTAATTTCCATTTTTTCCATAATTTTCTTTTTTTTTTTAACATCAGCTTTATTTTTTAAATGACCAAAAAACGATTTTTAGAAGTTTATTTTGTGTGTGAAAACTAACTATTAGTTAGTTTGAGTTAGTTAACAATAACAACACTTTTTTTCTCTCGCTCTTTTGTTGCCAGTATGATATTCTACATGGATTTTATTTCCATCCCATACAGTATGTAAGAAAGAAAATCTGTAAAATAGGGCCCAATATACTTTGTTAACATTAAGACATTTTCCATATTGATTTTTCACAAGGGTTTTGTCTGTATTTTGAATTACGTATTACATTACTTTGTGTTTTTGGGTTAAAGGAAATATCCGCAAACTTGTGTGTTCTTCAGTTTTTCCACAATTTTTTTCCTTACAGTTCAGGGCATCTACTTTGTCTTTTTTTTTTCTTTTGCACTTTTTAAAGTCATTTGTGTTTTACTTCTACTGCTTAGGCAACCAATGTTACCATGGAAATGATAAATTATTTAATCCATTTCCTACGATTTCATTCATACATTTTTATTACTTCAAAAGCAAGATGCATTTTCTCTGAAAGAGCAAAACAATCACTGAAATATTATGTGCTTCATTAATACTCTAGCAATTATTACTGAAGCCAAAGCAAAGATATTTGCAAATAAAAACCACTCTAATATTTGGCAACCATAAAAGGTCACGTACTGAAAGATACCCCTAGGACAGAGGATGAGAAGACATATTCCTCTCTGCTAGTGCACTCATTTTCCTCCAAGCACACTTAAGTGAAGGTGCTATAAAGTTTGTTAGTATTATTGCTGCAAAAGCATGATGTACAGGCACTCAGCGTCCATGTTTGCAAGAGTTAAAGCACTAAGAGCAGATAAATCTCACGGATGCTAGCAGAGAGAAGAGTCTGCACCCTCCCTCTTCATGATTTAGCATACATTCGCCTGCTAGCATAACACACATAAACAGATGCACACAGGTTGTCCACAAACCCACAGCACTTTTCAATGGCAGTAAGGCCATGTTCTGGATAGTGTCATGCGCTGCCCAGACCTGTTGATGTTAAAAATGTGTGTGAAATTCAAAGGATTGATGAAAGGAATTGATCATGCTAAAAGGAAAGGAAAATCATGCTAACAGTTCAGAAAAGGTTGTGAAAACAAGTGTGTGAAGCAAAACTTGTATCAAAATTCATACAGTACAAAATGTAAATCTATAATTATATTATATAACATATTATTTTTAAATTTCATATGGTTTCATAAGACTTGAAATATAGAGTAGAGTCACATGGTGCATTTTGGAGAAGGATGACAAAGATTAAAAACATGAATTGGACTCTAAATTAGAGGTGAGAACTGGAACAAATCTCAGAAAATATCCTGTTTTTCAGTGCAGACAAACTCTTTAGTGTGGAAAAAGCAAACCTGATGCTTTAAATGATCACCTGTTTAAACTGGGTTCAGAGAATGTGGATGAAAGACATCTAAATGCTAGACCTGCACAGTCAGACACAGCTCAAACCGTTTAATCAAGCTTGTACAAATAGTTTCATACACAAACGCATGAGCACACTCCACAAGGCCTTAAATAAGATAACAGGAAGACGCTGTGTGTGCTGCTGGTACAGATAAAGATCTGATCTATTGTGTGTGAGCTTGTGCATGGTTTGGGTGTGTGAACATGTGCATTCTACCGCAGATGTGTGTGTGTGTGTGTGTGTGTGTGAGAGAGAGAGAGAAAGAGTGTGTGTATTGTATGTTTATCTCTGTGCATATTTGTGTGACACTGAGCCTCAAATAACCTCCTGCCACAGACCTTCCGAGACTGACGGTTTTTGTACAGCTAACAGATTGATCTAACTAACAGATTGTACAGCTGTTACCCTGATGTGCATCTCAACTGACATTCTGCCGTCCATCACTTATGATTCAGGTATTGTGTGATCAGCAAGCACAAACATTGTCACGGTGTTACATTGCAAGTATAGTGTATATTGCAGTACAAAGTTTTACAACAAATGTTATTTGCAACTCACATTTGTTACTATTGTTAGTTAGTTCATCTTGACTCAGTCACTTCTGGCTTCTTTACTGTAACATCGGAAACATGCATTTTCTACAAAGCTGCTTTGAAAAAAATATGTATTGTGAAAAGTGCTATCCAAATATGTGAATTGAATCGAACTGCAAATATGTCTTCATTATAACCCATTTATAATATAAAGTGACCTGGAAATGTTGCAAAAAGACCTGGTAGGTTTTCTTAGAGTAGCCTTAAAATAAACTGGAATGTATTTAAATCCACACAAAACTGCAGCATTTGCCTAGCATTGTTTTTAGGCTTTAAGCCTTCTGTAAGAAATATTTTGAAAAAAAATAAATAAATAAAGTGTGGGAGACCTATAGTTTAACTAGAATAAAAAAGAGGGAACCCTAGAAAATACCATGAAAATAAATAAATAAATAAATAAAAACTATGTAATAAGCCATGCTAAACATCTCATAACATTTCTGCAATGTTATAAAATATGATTAAAAAACCTTTGACATCTGTCATATTGAAGACATAAATTGTCACAACCTTTCTACAGCTAAAATAATACATGTTTTACCCTTTTGATGTTCTGGGAGCCTGTTGATCGATTTAATAAATAAACTTTGATTAGAATATTAATACTGAATTTTCATTTGTTAATATTTCTCTTCATCCAAATGCTGAATGTCTGTTCATTTTAGGGACTTAAGTCAGCAAGCCTTGGGAAACGTGGAAATGACTCGGAGGAAGCATTATAGTTATAAGATAAACTGAAACTTCTTTATTTAACAACCTGCCAAGTTTCTCTCACTACTCACTAGAAGTGTAGTCTTTTTTTTAATACACATAATGATCATTTAAATGAGAATTCAGGGACTTTTGGATGAGAGAGTTTCGTTCTGACTCACTGGTTCACTAGTGAATGGGTCTTCCATGAGCAGATCACAAAAGGTCAGAGGTCAGCTCAAAAGGCAGGATTACTGAGCTAAACAGATTAGCCTAAAATGTTGTTTTTATAGAAAGCTGTGGGACAATTGGCCTGTTGATTATGTATGAGAGTGTGTTAGGATTACAAACAGAGAGGCAATATTTTCCTCTTGGTGTCTGAGGTAGGATCCCAAGTTGTTGCTTTGGATAAAATCATATTCAGTGTTTTTTATATGTTAAATGTGACTCGCTTTTGTCCCTTCAACTAAATACTTACCAGAACAGTTTAACTTCATCATGACCTTTGACCTCGTCACTTCTCCCAAGCTATTGGACAGGTTTGTATTGATGATGTCAGATGTGGCTGTCATGACGACGTGAGAGCACACACGCACAGACACTCACAATGCAGCAGTAGTCTCAAAAAATTTTTTGCGAACAGGAAATGAAAGTTCTGCATCAACTTCTGTGTGATATACAGATCGCATAACTGTAAATAGGTCTGATTGGCTATTTATGCTGCAAAGCATGTGCTATTTTGTTCTCACCCTCATGTGGAAGTCTAGTGCATTTAGTGGACCGCTTTGGTGCTTTTATGTATCCAAGGCTCTCAGTGTAAGTTGTCATAGTTTTGTCAAATTCTATAGTCACGAATGAAATTTTCCAAAAGGGGAAAAATATATCAAGAAATTAATTGCTGTTTAGAAAAGACAAAATGTTACATTTGCCATAACGACATCAGCCTTTATTATTTGCTGTTCTTTTGCTGACTGCCACTGTCGATATAAGGATTGTGTGTTAAGTGTTGAGGTCTACTGTACGTAAAACCATATGAATTTAAAAAATATATATATTTACAAGATAGTCTCCATGCTTTATGGCAAGTGTAATATAAGAATGCCTATAACAAGAATTCTTGTGTTGATAATTTAATATTTGTATGAATAAATAACATCTGTATGATCTGACCAGAATGTATTGGCTTAAGAATTCAATTTGGTAAGAACTTCCGACAATTTTTAAGACAATTTAGTCATTTTTGTTTTTATAATGAATTCCCATGCTTCTATCTGTTATTTCATAGTATTGATGACTTTATTATCATTTAAAAACATGAAAAATAGTATTTGCAAAGAATAATATTGACTGTTTTGATGTTTTTTTTTTCTTTCTTATTTTACTTTAACATCCTCCAGGCCTGAAACTGATTGTTTTGTATTTCAGGAAGCTTTTATAAACCAGTGAAGGTATTTGAAGCTGTATTATTGCAGTACTCCTATGGAGACCCCGCGATTGCATAATGGTCTCATATCGCCATAGTTTCCAAACACCTTGAAGGCTTTCCTGTTTATTTACAACAAAGCAACAAGAACTCCACCTCTCCCTTCATGTCTCTGTATCTCTGTCTGTCTTGGTTGTGCTCTTCTCATTTGTTCTTGAACAATAGATCTTAAAGCCTTTGTGTGGAATGTATCTGCTTTCAGGAGCACGATCAGAATTTAACAGGATTGTTTGTGGAAAAACAATAACTGTGCATTCTGTCGTCACGGTCAAGGCCATATTGGTGGGGAGAAAATATGAAATTAACTGTTAGAAACTCTTTAGTGACTCATGTTGGTGTAATTAAAACATATTCACACACACTGTCTCACACACACACACACACACACACACACACACACAAGCCCAACATGAGGTGCTGAGTGGAGTAGATTAGGCTGCGATAAATCACATCTGCTCCGTGTGAAACCGATGATACAGACATACACCATAAACTCCAGCATGCCAAAAAACACACATGTGAGACACTGAGAGAGACGGAGATAAACACACATAAACAAACACTAAAATTACATGTGTGGAAGAAGAGTACAAGAAGGCACTCGAGCTTTAGCTAAATCTTTATGTGCTTGTGTACAGATAGTTTGCAATCACAGCTTAAGAAAACAAACACTTTTTTTTGTTTGTTTGGGCCTGCTCATGACCAACCTGAAACTGTCTTTAGCTCAGCACATAGATAGTTTTAATGTTTTCGATGACACATAGCAACATTCGCAATATTTTAACACAATGTAAGTTATAGAGAGATTTTTAAAAAAACGTTCATTTTAAATGTTTTAAAAAGTATAAAGTTTGCAAAAATCTAAAACAGCACTGCTTATATACAAAAGGCGCCCCATTCACTAATAAATCAATGTGCTTGTACATTCAGTCAGTTATGGAACCTTACTGATGGAACGTGATTTCTGCGTGAAAAGCAGATTTTGCGCACAAATACCTGCGTACACAGTTAGTGAATGAGGCTGCCAGTGTTTGTCAAGCTGAATTAACTGCAAAAGCTTATGAAGAAGAAAAAGAAGACATTCCCTGCTGTGGGTATGTGAGGCACTGTGTCACGTTCGACTAATGCGTTGCTTGCTCTCCACGGTTTGCACTGAGGAAATGAGAAAACAATTAGACTTTTCTTACATTCATTTAAAGCAACACTGCCATCTGTTGGTGAGACTTTCACAGTACAACAGCTTCAACTCAAAGTCCTACTGAAGCTCCAATGAGTCTTTCACCCCCTTTCATTATGAGCATGCGAAACATTCATCTGTCACTAGACATTGCTCATAAAGTGACAGTTTGTATAAAGCAAAGATTTGAATTACATTCACTGTGCTCCACTAATTGTGCTTAGCTCTGGTCTTCCATTTCTGGCTCCTTCTTTGAGCATGTAGGCCCTTCATGTTTTTTCTTTTTTTAAAGCACCAAACTAACAGTTATTGAGTCCTTGGTCATTATGTTCCAGAATGTGCAATCTTCACATATCCTCTCAGTTCTGACTAGGCCGTGACGACACATGGCATTGTGAAGTATCCGGATGGATGAGGGAGGACCATACAACCCTCATCTGGGCCGGGGGTGTACGCAGGGGGTTCGTTTGAAGGGTTATTGGTCGGGCTGTCACCGGGGACGGGGTTTTGAGTTGCTGGCATGGCGCTGGGAGGAGTTACAACGTAACCTCCATTTACCGAAGCAAAATTCTCAGACTTTCCCGACACGCATGTGTGATCTCGGTCTATAGAGGCGTCAGGAAATTTGACCTGGGTGCAGGGTTCCTCGCAACACAGAATATAAGGTCCGCTGAAGTTCATGCCTGATTTGTCCTTGCACATGCCTTCACTCACATAGGCGTGCAAGTGGTTTGATCCACCTGACCGTGCCATTTTAACAGCATCTTCACTGTGTGACAAACACGGCTCCCAAGAGACACTGTAACAAAGTGAAGTGTTAAAGAAAAACATAGTCAGACAGAGATTTAAGATACACAAACATGAACCTGAACCCACTTCCATAATGTGACTTACAAGAAGTTTGAGGGTTTGAAAAGGAAAGAGGCACTGGTGGCATTAGGCGAAATGTTTCATTTCCTTTTTAGAGAGTATTGCTATTATTAACTAAAACTAAAACTATTAAACGTTTTTCAGTAATAGTGCTGAAATATAAATAAGAATAATAAAATATAATTTAATAAAATATAAATAGTGTAAAAAAAACTTGGCAATTAGCTGAAATAAGTTGAAGTACTGAAATTACTAAATCTAAAACTGAAATAAAATAATTTAAACATATAAAGAAGTATTTACAGTAAATAAAGTAAAGCTTCAGAATATAAAAACAAAAAAAATTTAAACAAAAAGACATCAGGATGTCTAAAACTAAAATTAAAACTGAAAAACTAAAAATAAAAACTAATTTAAAATATTGATATTCATGGAGACAATTAATATTTTTACTGCAAAATGTTATAATTTGATTCATAGCTTACCTGCTTTTGCAGAGACTGACATTGTCTGCAGCCAGTAGTACACAGATGGAGGTTGACTCTTTCTCACTCTGGAGATTTGGCCATCCGCTTGGAGACTTCTGAAAGAGAGAACGATAGAAAAAACAATTATGTAATACATATAACCAGGTGTAATTTGGAGTGGATTACTAGTTATAAAACTTATAAAAAAAGGCATACATGCCATCCTTTTAGCTGTTGTGTACCAGAAACACTGAAATTAAATAAAGCGAAGTAAAAAAAAATAAAATAAAAAAATAAAAAATTTGACAAAAACATTGAAATAAAAACAAATTGAAAACACTATATTAATTATATTGTGCATCAAACTCCAGATTCACCTTAAACATTTACTGTTCCAAGATCAGTTAAAGGCTCACCTTCATCATCCCCTCCAGCACTTTGCTCTTTATGGGCGATGGAATTGATCCCTTCCACAACTTGATCCTTCTATTATAGAATTACACACATGAATAAACAAACACAAATAAAACCAGCCAAATATGAACGACCGTTCCTGTAGCAATACCAGTGTAATGAGATAAGACTGATTTCCAGGGAATGTATAAACTGATTAAATGTATATATTGATTTCAATGTCTGAAATTTTGGATGGATGCATAAAAGCATAAATGTAAATGTATTGTGGGTTTTACCTGTGTAAGGATGGAAGGGTGTTGTACAAGATGACGAAAATCACGGCCACAAACACAGCAGTCAAAATGAAGATTACAGAGCTGATGGGCGATGAAACTACACACACACACAAAGAGTTTTTCTTATACATCATTATGCATATCGAGTTCTGTCCTGTGGGTATCAACTACTTTTGTCCTAAGCTTAAATAATTTTAATTTTACAAAGATATTCCCAGAACTTTTCTTTCATCTTTGTTATTTTAAAAGAAGCTCTTTATGAATTATTTACACATGTATAAAGTTGAGTACTTTAATGTAAAAAAGACAGAAGGGCATACAAACACAGGACACAGTTGTCACACTTCCCTTAAGGCATGGAGCGAGGAACGAGGAGACCAGGGATACACGAAACAATAGTCTTTTAATCCAAACATCCAAGGAAATACACAGGGCAGACAGGAGCACATGAAGCACCAGGGTTGACGTATAATCTCAGACAAGGACAGACAGCACAGACTCGAACTTAAATGCAAGGGATAATTAACAAACACAGGTGTACTGAATGACTAATTAACTGGGAAGCAGAACACATGGGGAAGAAACTGGGTCACAGAGCACAACAAACAGTCCAGGGGCGTGACATTACTCCCCCCTTTCGGAAGGTGTGTCCTCGCACCGTAGAAACATGGGGAGGGGAATGGGTGGGAACTAGGGAGGAGGCTCAGGAGGAGGACGGACACCCGGGAGGGGGCCGGCAGACAGAGTCCAGGGAGGAGA